CCGATATTTGTGGGCCTTTTCCCGATTCCATAAGTGGTCATAAGTCCTTTATTACTTTCATAGACGATTATTCACGCTACATGTACCTATATTTGATTAAGGAAAAATCCGAATCACTAGATATGTTCAAGGCTTATAAAGCTGAAGTTGAAAATCAACTTGATCGAAAAATCAAAGTAGTGAGATCGGATAGGGGTGGAGAGTTCTATGGTCGACACACTGATATTGGTCAAGCTCCTGGATCTTTCCATGAATTTTGTAAAGATCACGGGATCATCAACCAATATACCATGCCCGGCACCCCTCAACAAAATGGGGTTGCTGAAAGGCGGAACAGGACTCTTATGGATATGGTCCGAAGTATGTTGGCTAACTCTAATCTTCCCCAAATCTTATGGACCGAGGCCTTAAAAACAGCAACCCACATACTTAATAGAGTACCATCTAAATCTGTCCCTAAGACTCCACATGAGCTTTGGACGGGCAGGAAACCTAGTCTAAGGTACCTAAAAGTGTGGGGTTGTCCGGCTGAAGCAAAAGTGTATAATCCTCAATTGAAGAAACTTGACATGAGAACCATTAGTTGTTCCTTCATTGGCTATCCCGAGAGATCTAAGGGATATAGGTTCTATTGCCCATCTCATACCACCCGAATTGTCGAGACTCGACATGCTGAATTCCTTGAGAATACTAACATTAGTGGGAGTAGTAGTGGTTCAAACTTTTGTGATGAACTTCAAGAGGGAAATGGAATAAATCCACTTATTATACTGCCCATTCCACCTAACTCCTCACTTGAAGATCATAGTGAAAGTCATACACCTCATAATAATGATGCAACAAGTCAAGAGGCGAATGAAACTCCAATCAATGTTGAACCAACTCCACCGGTTACTAATGAAATTCTGGAAAATCAGCAACCCTTAAGGAGATCTCAAAGGGTCAGACGCCCCACAAATTTTGATGAATATTTGATATATTTGAATGAAGAAGCCGACTTTGATTTAGGGAAAGTCGTAGATCCTATATCTTTCCTTGATGCCATTAATTGTGACCAATCGACTCATTGGAAAGAAGCCATGAGTGAGGAACTTCTTTCCATGGAGAAGAACAATGTTTGGGAACTTGCTGAATTACCAAAGGGTCATAAGCCCGTTGGAAGCAAGTGGGTCTTCAAGACCAAATTAGATGCAAAGGGAAACATTGAAAGATATAAGGCAAGATTGGTCGCCAAGGGGTACACTCAAAGGGAAGGTGTAGATTATCAAGAGACCTTTTCACCCGTCTCTCGAAAGGACTCCCTAAGGGTCGTTATGGCTTTAGTAGCTCATTTTGATCTTGAGCTACATCAAATGGACGTCAAAACAGCCTTCTTAAATGGAGATTTACACGAAGATGTTTATATGATACAACCAGAAGGTTATGTTTCTAAGGGTCAAGAACATCTAGTGTGTAAACTCAAGAAGTCTATTTATGGGCTCAAGCAAGCATCTCGACAATGGTACCTTAAATTTGATGAAGTCATGAAATCAAATGGCTTCATTAAAAACAAAGTAGATCAATGCACTTACCTCAAAATGAGTGGGAGCAAATTCATCATACTTGTGTTATATGTTGATGACATCTTATTAGCAAGTAGTGACTTGGATTTGTTGCATGAAACAAAACGCTCATTATTTGGCCATTTTGACATGAAAGATCTAGGTGAAGCTTCTTATGTTATAGGCATTGAAATTCACCGAGACAGAGTCAAAGGGACGTTAGGCCTGTCCCAGAAGGCATACATTGAGCGCATTTTAGAACGTTTCAACATGCAACAATGCTCTCCATCAGTTACTCCAGTAGTTAAGGGAGACGTTTTTGGGTCATTCCAATGCCCAAAAACCGAGGGTGAGAAAGAGCAAATGAAACTCATTCCTTATGCTTCCGTAGTTGGAAGCTTGATGTATGCACAAGTTTGTACTCGTCCAGATATCGCATATGTATCTGGTATGTTGGGTAGATATCAATCTAACCCAGGATTAGAGCACTGGAAAGCCGCTAAGAAAGTTTTGCGGTATCTTCAAGGGACTAAGGAGTACAAATTGACTTATGAGAGGTCTAATAATTTAGAAGTGGTTGGATATTCCGATTCCGATTTTGCTAAGTGCAAAGACGATAGGAAGTCTACTTCGGGATACATTTTCTTGCTGTCAGGTGGGCCAATATCTTGGAAAAGCCACAAGCAAAGACTTACAACTACTTCAACAATGATGGCTGAATATGTTGCGGTGTACAACGCAACATGTCATGGGATGTTGTTAAGGAATCTTATCAAAGGATTCAAAGTAGTGAATTCCGTTTCAAGACCACTAAGGATTTATTGTGACAATTCCGTGGCCGTGAGCTTCTCAAACAATAACAGTTCGAGTGGAGCGGGATTGTTCCTCGATACAAAATATTTGTTCGTTCGAGAAAGAGTGGAGGAAAACGAAATTTGTATCGTACACATCAACACAAATGATATGCTAGCAGATCCTCTCACCAAAGGACTTCCGCCCAGTATTTTTCAAAGACATGTCACTAATATGGGCTTGATCAAAGATCCTGTTTAGGAATTAATAACATAGTGTCTGATTAGTTATCTTATTTAATATTTTCAAGTACTTGATTTAGAATCCCTCCTTAAGTATGTTTTGTCTATTCTTTATTGTGCACACAAAGTTATTTAATAGACAAACATAATACCCTAAGTTTAATGTCATTTGGCTTATATTAATCCTTATACTCTTTAAGAAGTGTCAAAGTATGATTAATGGGGGTCCCGGGTTATATTGACCCGTTAGACTGTATTTATTTGCTTTGATATTATTATGGAGTAAGATGAATTTTGTCTTGGCCAACACTTACTTTAACTTATGTATAAATGTTCTCAAGGTCAAGTGGGAGAATGTTGGAAAATATTCCATTTAAGTGCCCTTGGACCATTTATATAATTTAATATATTTTGGGGACATTTATGTCTTACCATTAAGTTTGCCATGTGACAGATTTGGTCCCTGATTTATGTATTGTTAACATATGATGAGTATGTTTTAACATTAAATAATACATAAGGGATCAAATGGGTTTTCTCTTTGATACAAACATAAGTACTCGTTCGGTTCTCACTCTTACGACAAAAGGAAAAGACACGCTTCTTACCAAGGGTCACGAACACCATTATAAAAGAGACTCATATGAGAACCGATCAATCCATCACAGTAGGGATTTGTATCCTTAGAGAATCTACACATCAATGGCTTCATCGTCTTCTACGACACCATCAACATTCGGTTTCTCCTCAACCGGTTAGTGTTCTTATTGTTTGATTCTATGAATTTTATCATGTTTGTGAGATTAGATTCTTATTTGGGACTGAATTTTTCAACAGTTTGCACTAATTTCGTCCAATTAAAATTACTGCACTTTATTGCACGACATTACTGCACACCTGATAATAATCAATGCACTTCCACCAAGATTAATTCTTTTCTCATTCACTTTAGAAAATTATTAATATTTTTTTTAGATTTAATAATTTTATTATTTTACGTCTAATTAAGTATATTGCGTTTATTTTCATGGAGAAAATAATGTTTTAGTGGAGAAAATAATGCTTTGTGTTACTGCACTACCAGTCATAATCACTGCATAACAACTTCCTTAATGCATTCGTTCACTGTCATGTACAACATATATATTGCCCATACTCGATGCCCATATTGAGCATGTGCTTCTGAAAATTGAGATTGTAGTGTATCACTTTTTATTTATCATAAAAGAGCGGTCATTATATTAAAATCGAGAACACATACAAAACAATCTTCAGACAGAATTTACAGATCCAATTGTGAACCATATGAGTAGACTTAGAGTCAACCACCTCATACAAAGCAACATGACTCGCTAAACCTAAAACTGGCAAATTTAGGCCTAAAGCGATCAAAATCGAAACTCTGCCTGCCTATCAAAAGAACTCCAAAAATCCAAATATTCAAACCAAATCTACTTGGACTAAAACAGAAATAAGTGCTAATAAAGAGAAAATAATACTGAAATAAAATCTTTCCAAAAAGTTCTTCCTGATATGGAGGTGGTTCCAGAGGAGGACAAACAATTACAATATGAGTGAATACCAACTCCACCACCGTCCGAATGGCCGACCAATAGGACAAAGATAATACTAGGTGTCAATTCTAAATTTGATGAGTCTGTTTTTTGGATTATGAAACTTATCAGACCAATTTTTTGACCAAACATGTAACTTTTGATTTCACACGTTGAACTGTGTAATAATAAGAAAAAGTAAGGTTCGCTTTACTTTTTGGCTTTATTGACTAAAGTTACCGTAGAGAGTCACTTTAGCTATTTTTCATATAACTTTGTCTTTATTTTATTAATAAAAATATTTTAATTATAACTTTTTTTCCATAAATCAGCAGAATCACCCACTTCAGCCAGAACTTCATAAATTTCAGTAGAACCAACTGATTCAGCCAATTTCAGTTTTACCAAACGAGCTCTAAGGGGTGTATGAATCTATTTCTCAAAACTGTTTCTGGTCTTTCAGAGAGCAGAAACAAAGATTGGAATGTTTGGATGAAAGTGCATAAGTATTTCTTGATGCTTTAAATTACAAAATCAGAATCCGTTTTTCAAAAGTTGGGGGAGACCCTGGAGAACTTATTCTGCTTCTATATTAAGAAAAGAAGCAAATGCAAAATAAATTCCACACACCTAAGTACTATCATCCATTATTTAATTCTTGCAATACTTTGACTTTCACGATTGACAACACACAACTTTGTCTGTAATTATAATTAATTATGTATTAGTAAATATTATAAAAAGTTGATATTTTGAAATTCACATTGATATGAATTCAATAACATTTTATACAAAATAATTTAATTATATATATTAGTAGAAAATCATGTTAAAGTAGTACTAACACTTCCATCAATTTTTGCTTAAAAAACAAAAATCAGTGCCTTCCAAATGCTGAAAGTCTGAAACGATAAGGCGATTCCAGAGTTGCTTTCCACTTTGCAAGAAATGGAGCTTAGATTGCCCCACGCTCAATCTTCCCTTTCCGCCCTCTTCAGTACCAGTAAGACTATTTGCCATCTACAATTCCCTTAAATTCATATATACATTAAAAGTCCCCAACTTCCATTTTCATGTCCAGCGGTTAGATAGAGAGTTCAAGAATTGCGCCAAAATTTGCATCTTTCCCCTCGGATTGCAATTTCTTTGTATACAAGAGATAATTAAAGGAAAAACTATAGTTCTTGAGTAGTCTGCTCATTAATTTTGATACATTAAATGGGCAGTTTAAGAATATTTGTATTTTGAGTCATCGCCAATGTGACTTAACAAGTTTTCCATGTAAGTCTTCGGTGTGTGTATTGGTGAAAATTTATTGTCTAGCAATTAAGATTTTCCATGTCTATTAGATTAGTTTCCAGGTAGTTCAACAATTCATGAAAATTTAAGACTCTACAGTCAAATACTGGTTTGGTATTTAGTTAAAAAGATGCACATTTACTCTTCTTTGTTCTTGGTTAGTTTCTACTGTTTCTCAAAGTTACTACCTTACTGACTGGGGACCTAAAGAGTGATTAGGATTGACAAAATTCAGTCATGTTTACTGAATTGCATTGAGTGATTTTATTGAACATTTACCCTTATTTCTGAAATATATGGTTTTTAGAATTGTTGAATCAAGTAAGAATCAAGTTTAATGGAATGTGCCCGTTTAAATGCAGCCACATGCTTATGTAAGTTATGCCACAAGTCTTAGGATATGTGCGTATGTAGGGAGTTGTTTGATGTGATTGGGTCAGAAAAGCTTAAATTTACCAAAACCCATTGATGAATAAAGATTTGTACTTGCTGATGAATAGTTCAAATACTAAAAAAGTAATGAGTTTAGTTGAACCTTCTGGTTCAGTGGAGTGGAGGTTGATAAAAAAATGGCATGTTTGGCTAACTCCAGGCCAGAAATACAGTAATTTCACAGATCTGCATGACAATGAAAAGTTATTAGCTGCAGTTGAACTGCCTTTATAAAATTGAATATGTATCAACTAGAATTCAATAGTTTCAGCTGAATATGATGATGATTGATTGTATTTGCTTTTGGTGTGATCCATATGTGAATTCCGTTCCCTTTCGAAGAAGCTTTGGTTTTGTAACCTCATCTTTACAAGTGGTCTTGATTTCAAGTAATACGCAAGCAAGCATCCAGAACAAAACTTTCAAAAAGTTCTGTTACTACTCTTTATCCTCTTAATTTAGTCCCTCAAATGCCAAGTTCATTAGAAACAGAATTTTTTTAATCCAAAAAACAAAATAGATTTGTATAATAAGTTAGAATTTAGTATAACAAACCAATTTCCTTTCTAAGTTTTGGTTAAAGACGAAATGAATATCACAAACACAACAACTAAAACAATAATATAACTATTATGAACTGTTATCAGTAGAATCTCTAATATAGAGATATTGTATACAAAAGTGTGCTCATATGTATCACATAATAATGATAATATATCAACTATAAAAAACAGGAATACAAATAAGTATAAATTATTAAAATTAACACATAGTGAGGTCAGTCAAGTGGTAACATGTGCTAAGTTCAGAACACATCCCCAACCCACCATCACCATTGCAACAACACCAACAACACCAAGCCTTAGTCCCAAAAGATTTTGGGTTCGGCTAACATGAACCGATATCCAAGCCGCCATCAGCCCATCACCGTTGTGGTGTTTTTTTATCTTTATACTCAGACATTATCACTATCACTTGAAATGTCCAGACTTTATTGGCATACAATATTTGATCAGGTCTATTAAGTTTAACTAATTTACCCTGCAAATGTGGGATTGCCGTTTTAGTTTTATGGTGCATCAACTTCACTTTCTTAAAGCTTAATGATTCCAAAAATGTGTCTATTTCAGCTTATCAAAATATCAAATCACCACTTAGAGAATTGTAAATATTTTGCCATAAAAAGTGCTGCTGAAATTATAAGTAGTTCTACATAACGGATTTAATTCAAACTCCAATGCAGCTAGGGAATCCAAGTATAGCTATTCTTACTCATTTTATAGAAGCATTGGTTCCCGAGATGACAAGAGGTCAAATTTACATGCCCGGAAAGAACTCTCTTCATCTGCATTACCAGAAACACTAGCATCTATTGCAGTTGCTGCCACAGTTGTTGGGGCTGCCACTACTCTTCTTATACGAAGAACTAAAGCTTCTAATTCAGTTGAGGTGCATACCTCAACTACAAGTAAATAACCTCCTCAGTCTTTCTTTTTAATGCAACAAAAAGGATACAGTTTTACTAGTAAATAAAAGAAAAATGACATGCAATGGTAAAAATGTTGTGTTCTGATTATTGAGGCAGTTCTCATAATCTCTGTAAAATATTGATAGGATGTAATGATTAACTATGTTTCTAAATGCGTTTTCAGCCTACACATCGTTTTTTATATCAAATACTACCTCCGTCCCGAAATGAAGTTCCCATTCACTATTTACTTGGTCAACTTAAATCACTCTTAATCTTTTACTTTATATATCAATTTTTTATCAAATTTAAATTTTCTTGATCAGGTTTAGTAGCGGTTTTAATGTAGTTTTTGAATATGTAAATTTTATTTACTAAAAATAATCTGAGTGTGAACAGGGATCGGGTTGCTTTATCGTCAGTCAAGCATCGTAAACCGAAACGGGAACTTCTTTACGGTATGGAGGGAGTATATTGTTTTTAGGCTGCTGTAAATTAAACCTCACATAGCCAAACTGGGCTTCTGTTAGCCACGTAAGTCGTTGTCTTGAGCTACTCATCTTATAGATCTTTTAGTGTGAAATGTCAAATCTAATTATGCTCTAACGAGCAGTCATAGTGAATACGATTTAAAAAAAGGATAGAACCTGAAGTATCAATTTAAGAAAATGAAATTATAGACCATAACATAAAAACAACTTTAGGCCTCTTCATTCAAAATCCTAGGTTAATTTGTTCATAATCAGGTCCCAACAAAGATGTGTGAAGACTGTGGGGGCACTGGTATTTGTTCAGGGTGCAAGGGTGAAGGATTTGTTGTGAAAAAGATGTCCGAGGAAAGTGCCGTAAAGGCAAGGGCAACAGCACAGAATGCGGCAACCAGATATACAGCAGGGTATATTTCATCATATTTTCATTTATGTAGACGCTGTATCCCTTTACTCTTCCTCAAACACATTCTCAACACCTTCTAAACAGGCTACCTAAAAAGTGGAGCTACTGCACCAAATGCAATGCTGCCCGTTCCTGTAGTTCATGCTCTGGCAATGGGAAACTTCTTGGTTCATCTTCAACAACACAAAGGCCGGTGAGATTGGAACAACAGAATGCACTAAGAACTAAATTCTGATCCAAACTTTGTATGATGTAGTAAGTATTGTTATGATGTCGTTCTTGTTTTCTGGTTATTACCTGATCCGAGAATGGGGTCCATAAAACAAGTTGAGTTGCAAAGCGTTAAAATGCATCTATAGTGGATTTTCGGCTTTAGATCTTAATCTTTAGGTATGCCTGGTGGGCGCAGCCAAAATTGTATGGAGACTTCAACCTTTCATTTCAATGATGAGATAAGAAACTTATTATAACTAATTCATGCGAAAAGGAAAAAATTGCACTATAATCGTAGGCAGAGGTTAATCAACATTTCAGATTGGGATAATTTGAGTTTGCACCCCACTTTATTGTCGAAATTAGACTTTGCACCCTGTTTTTGAAATCCTTAGTATTTGCACCCTAACCCCGTATGAAAAGACAAGAATGTCCCTCGATCAGAAATATGTTGAAGGCCAACAAAATTGTTAACTGAGGGGCATTTTAGTCTTTTCATACGGGGTTGGGGTGCAAATACTAAAGATTTCAAAAATGGGGTGCAGAGTCTAATTTCAACAATAAAGTGGGGTGCAAACTCAAATTATCCCTTTCAGATTTCTTTATTTAAAAATTATAACAATTATTAATATTATATTATTAAAGAGATTACCATAGGTAGAATTAGAACAACAGTCTTATACGTAAATAGGAGTATCACTGTTATGTTTTTGCTCTAAAAATAGGATTTATTCAGTAGTAAAAAAGGAACAATGTGTTCTTGCTCTAAAAAGTTAAGAGTTCTTATTTTTAGAGGGAAATCAGGGAATGAATCCTATTTACAAAAAACAATGGTAGTTCTATTTGAGAACAATGTGTTATTTTTACTCATGTTTTTCGAATTTTATCTTATTATTACTATAATGTAATGCGTTATTTTGACTAGTACATTTCGAATTTTATCTGATTATTATCATTACAATGTATTATTGTTGTTGTTATTATCATGGGGTGATTTCTTTTTTTATGGGAGTGCCATGCATGGGTTGCCAAAATGCCGGACTTTTTTTAGGTTTTCTAAAAAACAAGAAACGTGTTCCATGAATCCGAAATATGTAGGGTTTATGTGGGAGCTGTAGGGAGAGTTAAAAAACGGATTCCATGAATCTATATTGGGTTTTAATTTTTTTACAAGATGCTTGAGTAAATGACTAAGTTGAGTGGGCATCAGGTTTTTTTTACGGGAGTGCCTTGCTTCAACATGTTTTTTTTAAAAGATTTATTAGGTTTTGTAGATTGTTTAGTTATATTTTTTTTTCAAAGAGGAAAACACAAATAATTCAATAAAAATTTGTGAGTGGAATAAATAATAGAGCATATGAAGCATAATATGTACAAAGATAAATAATTTAGTGATATTTATAGTTGGAAAGATGTGTATTATTTTATTAAATAAGAAATATTCAATTGTTATGTTAGAGATTGTATTAGTGAATATACATATTTAATGATATTGTATTACGAAGTTATTCCATGTTCCCGCAACAAAAATATAAATATTTCATTACTCGTTTCTTTTTGAATAACAACATGACAAAGAAATACAAATTTTTATTCATTTAAAAGAGTTACAAAATACATATAAATTTTTACTCTTGTCCTCTCCTACTGGGACGCATATTCATTTCATTTGTAAATCGTATCCTTTGAGCCCTACCGGTTTGACTGCATCGAGCACTTTGAGGCGGTATCACTAAATATCCGGTATCAGGCATCGCACTTACGTCATGCATAGACATAATATCTGTAGCATATGTATGGATGTACGCACTTAATTTATACACGTCCGGGATGAGATGATCTACAGTTATTTCTAGGAAATGACATGTTGCATACGCGTGCACACATGAAAATCCATTTTGCTTCCAAAAACCACAATCACATTCGCAACATGAGAGATTTACCGTTACTAGCGGATAATCACAGATGGAAACAAAGTATATTCCCGTTGTTTGGTTATGCGGGACAATAGTGCACTGATGTCTTTTCTGCGAACGTTCAAGAATATCTTTCCATATATTTTGCGGATATAGGAACCCACCTTGACGCCACATCTGACCGGCCCTACGTCGGTCGGCAAATAGTTGGACAACTTTGTTATAAGTTGCCTTAACCAACGCGATGATTGGAAGTGTTCAACATCCCTTTAGAACGTTATTGAAGCTCTCGGAAAGATTTGTTGTGAGGATGACGTAACGTCGTGCATCGTCGAAGCACAGTGCCCAATTTTCACGTGGAATAACGTTCAAATACGTGAACGCATTCTCATTCGTAGCACGAATTTGAGCCATTGTTTGGTAAAATTCACTCACCATGGGTGTACTCCCAGCCTGCCAATAGAGCTTTTTCAGTTCAGTGCTCCTGAATTTTGTCATGAAATTTCTTCTAATGTGTCGGAGACTCGGAGGCAGAATCGCTTCGAAACTTGGGAGGTTTTCAATTGAGGTACTGATTGATGGGCACTTAGGATGCCAGGGTGCCGATCTGATATTATGCACATATGCCGATTTGGTCTAACAACATAAGTCATAATGTGTTCCAAAAACCAGGACTAACTACTTGTGTTTTCACTTTGCACAACTGCGTAAGTGAGGGGAAAAATCTCACGGTTAGCATTCATGGTGACTGTCACCAGGAGATGGCCCTTGAACTTTCCGTACAAGTGAGTACCGTCAGATCAATATCTGCAGTGCAATAACCTACACATTGCGAAAAACTTCTTTATGATTTGTTAAAATTATTAGTTAGTACGTTGATGAATGCACGAAAAGCATAGATGTAATACATGAAAAAAAATTAATTAATGAAAAGATAGTTACGTCTCATACTTGGTACGAAGTATGTTTTAGAATAAAAAGGAATAAATAAATATAATAATAATTTTTCTAGAACATACACGTTTTGAAACGCTTTCCTGTAAACAACATTGGTAGTATGTTCAATTTTTTCAAGATCTCCATCTTAAATTTCATTTATCAATTAATCTTTCTTTTAATCATATTTAGAATTTTTTTCTCTAAATGATACAGAGTATTATATTAAAAATATTAATAAATAATATCCTAATAATATTCAACCAAAATAATAATCATAATAATATTATAATTATAACAACAATAATAATAATCATAACATTAATAATCAGAAACATTATATTGTTTTTACTTGAACTTATTTCAATCTCAATCCATACCAGATCATTTCAGACTAGACTTCAATAGTTGTATAATACACAGAGACTATACATTTACTACACCAAGTCAGCTCTGACCAGAAAATTTTAGTAGAAATAAAAAAAACTAATAACAATCCTAGAAAGATAATGATAATAATAAATTATAATTGAACAATATAATTATAATCCTAATTAAATATTATATACTACCTCCGTCCCTTAAAACTTTGTCTATCTTTCCTTTTTGGGACGTCCCAAAAAACTTTGACACTTTACCTTTTAATAAATTATTTTATGGTTTCTGTTATTTCTCTCTCATCTGCACAAAATTCAACCACACAGTTTTTACTTTATTATTTTATGGCAAAGTTTTGAGGGACACTTAGTATTTGACAAAGTCCAATTCAGGTCAGTCCAGCAACTTAAACCTAAAACGCCCTATGTAAATTCTACTCCCTCCTTCGGCCGCCTCATTCATCCGTTCATCCAGTCCAGCAACTTAAACCTCACTCAAACCATCGTGTGTTCTTCCGCCGACCATCGTCCGCTGAGGTAAAACCAAAGAATCTCAAACCACGTCTACCATCATTTCGTGATTTTGGTTTATCCCCTGCATCCTCGTCGTCTTAATGTGATTTTCTTGAACGGTTCGGTAATTGAATTTCTTTATCAGTTTGTGCATGCATACACTCGTTATTGTGATTATTTACATGTATAGTTGCATATGATTTGGCCATAAATTGCATGTTTAACAGATTTATATTATATATGTATTTTATCATAACAAAATTCCTCTTTCATATACTCCAAACTTAACAAAAGTTTTAAGGGACGGAGGTAGTGTTCATTTACATGGCTAAACCTATGCCAATTTGTGAAAATGATGTATACGTATTTGTGTTTTTAAATGCCAACATTTGTGAAATTCTGGATTTAACCTGGCCGCTATCGATTTTGTGATATAGGATGTGTTCGTTTAAATCCTAGATAAAACATGACATTGTATTTTGGATACATCTATGCAGATTTTTTTAATTGGTTAAATTGGTCTGTGATGCGTGAAATATATAACTATTACACATATTTCAAACGGATTAATTTAAAACTTACTTCATCCATAGTTTTTATTAGTAAATATATATTTTTAAAAGGTCACTATAACAGTTTATTTAAGAAAAAAAGAAGTAAATTGAACTGTCCAAAAGTTTGTAAATTGACATTTAAATGACCAATTGACATTTAAATTTCCAAAAGTTTGACATCCAAAAGTTTCTATACCAAAAGTTTTTACTTAAAATAATATAAGTTGAAAACGGCATTTAACTTTCTAGATTAGAGCAATAGCTTGTAAATTGAACTGCCTAAACTACTTAAAGCAACCAAAGCTTTAATTCAAGAAAATGTGTGAAACCTTGTACTTTATTGAAAACCTGTGAGTCTGCTCTTGAAACCTTTGGTTATTGCTAAGTATAGATGAACCCTATTAATACAACATGAAGAGTTTTAAGCATATATTATACCTCTTAATCATTGAAAATAGCTTCTAGCGTATCCCTTCTCCTAAAATGTGGTTGAACTTCAAAGTCACGTACAACTCCCACTTTTAATTCCGAAGCTATGTTGCTCTGGATGCCTAACTGACTAAGTTGTATGTATATATACTACAAATTTGAACTGCTCTGAATATCAATGCTCAATTACTCTCGTATGTAAAAGTTCAGTTAGTAGTACCTACATACTATACTATCGTATAATATAATGTGTATTTTATTTAAATGGATTGAATACATGGACATTTTCTATGAAAACAATTTAACTATGACTTCAATACCTCTTTTCTAAAACTGATTATTCATGTTTTCTCTAGACTGTAATTTCTTCATGTTAAATTGAAGTGCTTCAATATTGGAAATTATATTTCTGAAGCCTAAATTCTGAAAATTGTTTGAAAGATCCAGTTTTGTTCAAATGCAATTCATTAGAAAATGGAATTTATAGGAATCAACAAAACAAATCACTTTTTTACAACATTTTTATAACTTCTTAAGAATTAACATAACAAATCACTTTTTAAGGATTTTATCTTCTATATTTATACCATCTGATTTTACTTCTATGTTCAATTTAAATTCATTTGAACATATTTTGTAAGTACATAAATATTAACATTTTTATGATGGATCAAATGTTTTTTTTGAACTTATGATGGATCAAATGTTATAATAAGTTTATTATGTTTTATATATAAAATACCATAGACTCCTAGTATGAAGTGTTTATTTTTCATACTATTCCCAAATTTGAAAATCCTAATTGAATTAATACGTTGGGGCTGGATTGTTTTAAATGCTGCCTAAAGATTTATTCTTGAATTGCATTTGAGCACACATTCATGCTTGTTTGTTACTTATTTAATATCAATTGCATCTCGAACGATCACTTTCATCTAAAGTTTCATACTAAATTTGATCTCACGTGGAAATGCATGAGATTAAACCAGTGATGTCAATAGCGGCGCTATAGCACGCTATAGCGGAATAGCGTTGCGGCAGACATGGATGGCGCTACGGGGAGGGCTCTAGCGTGGCGTTTGGGTGTAGCAGCCATAGCGCCCACTATTGCAGTGGTGCGGAGAAAAAGAAGGCCGCTAACACGGCACATTTAATGGTAAAGAAGTTACTGCGCATTCTGGGAGGGATTTTAGCGCTTAGTTTTTTAGTGCAGACATAGAAGGGGTAAATTAGACTTTTAAAACAATATATTAACCTACTTAAAACCTTACACGTACGTCAAAGGCTACTAAAAGCCCAAAATGAAGCCAGCTTTTGAAAATATTCAGTTGAACCTCTTCGATGACTTCTTCTCCAAGAACGACTATCATCTATTTCTGCTGCTCTGCGATGGCTTCTTCTCCATGAACGACACATGCTGCCCTCCTCTGCCTTCAGTAGTACATTCTGCTGCAACATCTTCTTCCCCAACCTTTGCTGCAGACCTGCAGTCTTCTTTTCTTCTTCTTCTTCTTCTTCTCGTATGGAGTCTAGTCAGTCTACTCTATTGTTTAAGCCCACAGGAGAACATCTTGACCCATAATTTGTCAAGGCTTAAACTTTTAAGATGTTTTAACTTTTAATTATTAATAGCATCTTATGTTTTGCTCATGAAACTAAAGAGTATTTCTAAGTAATTTAGGTGGGTGAAGTGGTGAACCATCTAGTTTCAGTAGTCTCTTTGCAGACCTCAGAGTAATTTTTTTTCATATGTATGTATTACATATGCTTCCAGTAGTTACTTATCTATTACATTTGAAATTACTCTAAATAGCGGTTATCCCGCTATCCGCTATACCGCTATAGCGTTTTTGGGGCTGCCCGCTACGCTCTGCTATCCGGGATTGACAACACTGGATTAAACACTGTAACGTGTAATACCTATTCAAACATACTTTATTTTCAAAGGGTCTTTAGACTCAAAATATAATTGTGAGACCATGTTTTAATTATAATAAATATTAACTAAATAATAATCTTCAATAAATTTTGAACAGTACTTTTGTAAATATGTTATATTTGTAAAATATGAATAATATCAATAAATATATTCTTAAATCAATGGATTTATATGGTGATGTAGCTAAAAGTGTAAATGATGATTTGCATGTGATTAGAACAGCGTTGTCTGATCTTTTTAAAAATTATAACTTTGTATCTTTTTAAAAGGGTGATTTATATGTTTCTGTAAAATTTTCTGTAAAAGCAATTTAAAAGTGTAGCACATTACCTATTCCAACGTACTTTATTTTAAATATGGAAGGGTCTTTAGACACAAAATATAATTAGGAGATGCATTTTAAGTTTTTAACATGATATTATCTCTTATGTCGCAGGTCTAATCCAAAAGGATTGATTATATTTGGACCTGAGTAAGGTACCCAAATGTGTATTAATGAAATGTAGATTGTTTACAAAATAGTTTCTATTGCATGCTCAAATTCTCAAGTATGATCTTCATCCCCTAAACTTTAGTCATACTTTTTGCTTTTAACTACAATCAAAGGTAGATTGTTTACAAAATAAATTGTCCACTGTTCAATGTTTAAACTAAGTCTTTCAATTTCTTGGAATAAGCAATCTAAATGTTAACTGAATCTGTTTTTCTTTCTTTCTGGTAAAAAATAAATCTGTTTTTCAAAGCATGCCTTATCTGACTTTAAAACAACATGTCCAATGTACCTTAACGTGTTTATTATTAATGTTTGGTCATTCAAGTATGGTTGTTGATCTGCTACACTCAAAATAATTTTTTTGAAACCCAAATGATATATACAACTTTATACCAAAACATACTTAATTTTACCTTTCAGGTTACCTTTTGTTGTTGGCAATATTTCTGGGTGTTTGACAAACATACTTTCCCAGAATTGTGCCAATGATATCTGTGTTTATCAAACTGTTAGAAAGAATAGGAAACCCGAGATAAACACTACTAAACCAAAATGAATTTCTATTAGCATAATTTTTTATAAGAATTTAAATCATATGATTTACCTCTTCATCATTGGATACTACTTCTAAGGTCTCACCCTCCTGCCAATATCTGTGATTGTTAACCAAAGATGAACTCCTAAAATTACATAAAATCTTATTCGCATAATTTTCAGAAGAAAGTTTTAAGCACTTCACATATCTTTTCATCATGCCAAATAATTGTAGTGTATCCCCTCTCCTGAAATGCAGTCAAACCTCAAAGACCCATGCAACTCTCACTTTCAATGTCAATGTTATAATGTTTGTTGTTCTGTATGCCTAACTGATTATGCTGGCCTTATATATATATACACACACTACAAATTTGAATTACTCTCAATATGTATGATAAATTACCCGATGGGCAATAGCATGCAATTTCTTTTAATTTGAATAGACATCTCCCGGTGCCCAATAAATTTGTACTTGAGAATTTGAATAAAGTAGATTTGCCTTGTTATAGGCAACCAACTTTAATTAGAACAGCTCAAAGGCAGTAACTATGATTATACAAAGGACAATAAATGTGTGATATCCGGATAATAGGTGTGTATTACATGCCCCTGCAGCAGCATGCATTCATCATTAATTTTGCATCAAATGAATTGTACTTTTTATTGAGCCTCACACCTTGCTTTCTTGATATTGGGTATTACATTAAATGCATTACTATTTTGGGCCTCAAACCCTGGAAAAACTTAGAAATCCGACCCGACCCACTGCAGACCCAACCCGACCCATGAGTGTGATGTTTTTAAGTGGGAACACTGTTCACAGATTACTGTTCATGGTTTATGTAGACATTTTCCTCCTGCTTTTGCATAATAGAAGATATAAATGTGCATCCTCCACATAGGGTTTAATTGGAGCACTCAATTGAGAGACGTGTCTCGGCAGATCTCACCAGGGCGGAGGCTGAAGGCTTAGGACGGCAGCTGCGATAACAAGTTTACCAACACCAATATGGTTCGACTGCAATTTTATGTCATCTAATATGCATTTTTATGTCATCTAACATGCATTTTTATGTCTTAATTTCTCTTCACTTGCTGCAATTTTATGAAATGTGAGATAATTCTTTTTCTTCATCAACAAAATGAACATAATACTCTCCATAGCTGTTTTTAAATACAACAGTAGGATATGAAATAATCAATTCCAAGTACTTTGGAACTTTAAATTACATTTTCAATCATACGAAATTTGTGCCTGTAATAATTCCATCAGCTATTTGTCTGAGTGTGACATTTAACCAGCAATGGCATACATGTTTTGGTGCATGAACATCCAGTCTCACTATCTGTTGCTTTGTTTTGATATCTTTTCTACTCTGCAGGCTAGAGGTTTGAAGAAACACTTAAAGAGGCTCAATGCCCCAAAGAATTGGATGCTTGACAAGCTTGGAGGTGCATTCGTAAGTAAAAGGATGTTGATTCACTGTCACAACATAATTATGCTTCAGGCTTTTCAGCTCCCATAACCATGTCCTTTTTCATTGTTATTGTACAGGCTCCTAAGCCCTCTTCTGGTCCCCACAAGTCAAGGGAGTGCCTGCCATTAGTCCTCATCATTAGGAACAGGCTCCACTATGCTCTTACCTACCGTGAGGTTATTTCCATTTTGATGCAACGTCATGTTATGGTTGATGGCAAGGTCAGGACTGATAAAACATACCCTGCTGGTTTCATGGGTAAGCCTTCTCACTATTTGATGTATTCTACTGCATCAAACTGTGTAATCTCTTTTATGAGTATATATTTATTTTATTTTCTTTATTTTTTGTTTAATTTGGTTGACATTTTAGTAAATCTTGTAAACTTTCAGATGTTATCTCGATTCCCAAAACCAATGAGAACTTCCGCCTGCTGTATGATACTAAAGGGCGGTTCCGTCTTCATTCAATCAGGGATGAAGAGGCCAAGGTCAGAATATTGTAGAAACTTTGTGCTTTTAACATATAGTACAAGTGGAATTTGCAGTGGCAGCATTTAAAAATTGTTTTCCCACATATCTATTATAAAAAAAGAATTATGTGCTTTGTAAGGCTATGTTTCTTTGTGTTTTTGTCATATATTATAGAAATATGTAGAGAGTTGGAGATTGTGAAATAATATAGGGATATACAATTGATTTATGGTGGTTATACTATTTGCTTAGCAATTTTTATTCTGGAAAACGTTTTTTTTCTTTTACCAAGAGTTTTAAGATATAAACATATCCTGAACGGCAACATAAACAATCATTCATAGGTTATTGCTCATTAATTGCTGTTTTACAACATTCATAGCTGTAATTAAATAAGTTTGTGTCCATGCCTTCGAAAAACAAGAAGACTGAGTAGTACTTGACTTGTCCTGTTTGTAATGCTATATGGGAAAAAATTTATCACACTGTTCTTGATTTCAATAAAGCCTTGTTTCTATTTTGTACAAGTATGGTCAAACTTTGTCGAGTGTTGTCCAAGACCAACTCCTTAAAGAATTCATCAGATTCTTCCACTTTCACCAAATAAGTTTTACAAAACTGCCAAACTCTACTCTTGTGCTATGCATTAGCTTCACTCTCTCTTGATGGCATGCTTTAAAGTAGAAGCACCTTCATCCTGCAATTTACTTTCTTTTGTGTGCCCATCTGCAGTTCAAGCTTTGCAAGGTCCGCTCTGTTCAATTTGGGAAAAAGGGCATTCCGTACATCAACACCTATGATGGTCGGACAATCCGCTACCCTGACCCTCTTATCAAGGCCAACGACACCATTAAATTTGACTTGGAGGGAAACAAAATCGTCGACTTCATCAAGTTTGACGTTGGGAATGTAGTTATGGTGACGGGTGGAAGAAACAGGGGACGTGTTGGAGTCATTAAGAGCAGGGAGAAGCATAAGGGTAGTTTTGAGACTATTCACATTCAGGATGCCCTTGGTCATGAGTTTGCCACCCGTTTGGGAAATGTGTTCACCATTGGGAAGGGTACCAAGCCGTGGGTGTCTCTACCTAAGGGAAAAGGCATCAAGTTGACCATCATAGAAGAAGCCAAGAAGAGGCAAGCTCAGTCAGCAACTACTGCTTGAAAAGTGAAACAGATATGGCGTTGCTGTGTTGATTAGTATTTCATTTGAGGTTTTTTGCAACTTAAGACACTGTTTTTTATATTATCTTGCCAAACGTATTTCTATTTGCCTTGAGCAACATTTTTGGCACCCAAGTCTGAGCTGTTTTTAGTTGACATTTTCTATAATCTTATTTTTCTTATGTCTGTTTTTTTTAAATAAAATCGTTTTTTGGAAAAACATTTGACTTATAGTTTCACTCGTTTGGTGATCGTACCTAACAGTAGCTACAGAGGAACACCTGTCGGCATGAAAAAGAATGACTATTCAAAGTTGTTTTTTATCACATTATATGAAGGTTCATGTCTTTTACTCCGTATATGTTTTACAAGTCTGGTTTTTATTTAATTCTCCGTATTGTAAACAGTAGATCTAAAAAAGACTTAATGAAGAAGATGTCCAAAAATATTCATAAAAAATTCAACCGAGAATTGTCCCAAATGGTGATGGCCAGATAGTCTCCTAGAAAAAGAGTGATTTGCACTTTTTCGGTTAGTTTGAGGGTTTATTTGCCCTTTTTCCCAGAAGAATTTAAAAAAATTCAAATGTTGCAAAAAAAATCGATGCATGTATATTGAAATATGAAATGCAATTGATATTATCAATTGTACTTTGTATTTCAATATATATGCAATCGAAAACAGGCCCGTAATATATTCGGTTCTGCCTGGAATCGGATTGGTCCAATGCGGTTACAAACCGGATTATGGACTGATTGAGATATTAAGATACCCCAAAACTAATGTCTATTTTGGTCGTAAATACATACTGATAGTGTGTGATGGAGTATATACCCCAAGGGTGTCATTATCTCCGGTTTGCATTCCACAGATCCATCAGAGTGCAAGAAAATGCCAAGTCCACGACAGGGACCGACCCCCTGAGGTCGGAAAAATACCAGGTTCGGGAATGGGTCAAACTCATCAAATTACGGAGCTCGCTGACCTCGACCCCTCCCTCCCCTCCCCCCCCCCCCCCCCCCCCCTCCCCCCGAGGTCAGGAAAACACCAGGCTTGGGAATAGGCCGAACTCCTCAGTTTTGTGCCTGACCTTGAAGGCACTTAGCTCGGCACCAGTGCCGACCTCAGACGTCGGCGCAGAATTAGCACAGAGTCAACGTGGAGTCAACAACCCTGAAGACTGAGCCTGAAGCAGGAGACGAATCCATGGGCAACGAGCTCGAGTCCCTAATTACTAACCTCGGTGGACTCAGGGTCTGATTACAACCTCGTGGACTTGGGCAGAATATTTCCTCACGTACCGAGCCTGGCCTTGTGGATTCTAACCTCGAAGATGTTGAGCGAGTGGATTCCAGCCTCGCAGATATCAACCTCGTGGATTACAACCTCGCAAATACTGACCTCGGCTGGTTCAAGGTTGGATTACGACATCGTGGACTTGAGGAAAACTAAGAGACATTTCTCCAAGCACTCGAGTCCTCAAGTATCAGCCTCAATAACGCCTCTCCGAGCACTTGAGCCCGAGCCCACTAGTACTGACCTCGGTGGGCTCGGGGGATGACAGAAGCTGTGGACTAGATAAAACTCAAGACATCTGCCCAAGTGCTGAGCCTGAGGCCTGAAGTGTTGACCTCAATGGCGTATCTCCAAGGGTTGAGTCCGAGCCCCTGTATACCGACCTCAGTAAGCTCAAGGTCTGATCAAGGCATCCCGGACTTGGACAAATTCGCCAAACACTTCTCATGCAGACCCCGCGGGTACTGACCTCGTAGATTCCGACCACTGAGGGCTCGGGGTCGGGAACCAGCCATGATGGAAAATATACCAAGTGTCACCCGCGTGTTACTCTAGCAGCAGTCAATGGCATCTCCTAAGGGCTTTGTTGAGGTTAAGTCCCGCAGATCTGAAAGCCCAACACAAACTTTGGATATCTCACGAAATGGTCACGAATTTCGTGTATAAGAAAATATAAAAGATGGATAATATAACGCTCAACAGCCCGCTTGTATTAGATAATTTGCTGGTTACACAATAACTTCCCGAACGATACGTCGGAATAATGATTAATACAAGTACAAGAGTAATTAAGTTATTCTAGGCTTTGAGTCTCAAAAATCTACCCTTTACAATGAACTTAATCCTTCTATTTATACTAATGGGGGTATGGGGTGCTTCATGCTGATTGGTTGCTAATCCAGTCGCTTGAAAGCCCATATTCCCACTTGCTGCCGCCATACTTTAGCAATTAATGCTTCCTGCCACTTGCTGGCTAACCGTTGCCCGAACGGATAATGGACCCTGCTGGAATTATCATTGATCTGACCCAAGTACATTGGTTGACACGAACCCCGTTCGGTACATATTTCTCCCTGAGCCTGTTCATCTTCTGGATTCTGGGCCCGTTTATTGGACTGGATATATTGGGCCTTTGATCCGCGTATTGGGCCTTTGGCCCAATATCCCAATACGCCATTACCCGTTCGGGCAACGGGCAACCAGCAGGTGGCAAGAAGCATTTATTGCTAAAGTATGGCGGCAACAAGTGGGAATATGGGCTTTCAAGTGGCTGGATTAGCAACCAATCAGCATGAAGCACCTCATACCCCCCATTAGTATAAATAGAAGGATTAATTTCTTTGTAAAGGGTTAGATTTTTGAGACTCGGCACAAAGCCTAGAATAGCTTAATTACTCCTGTACTTGTATTAATCATTATTCCGACGTATCGTCCGAGAAGATCTTGTGTATTCAGCGAATTATCTAATACAAGTGGGATTTTGAGCGTTATATTATCCATCTTTTATATTTTCTTATACACGAAATTCATGACCATTTCCTGAAATATCAATAGTTCGTGTTGGGCTTTCGGATCTGCGAGACTTAATCTCAACAGGCTTCATTTGTATTAATGTACTGTTTGTATTGGACCAAGCCCACTAAGCTTTAGGTTAATCCCTATTTCGCCAACAAATACACTCTAATGCCTACATTGTACCCCTAAGTTCAAAGCCCTAGTCAAAGCTTTATTTTGCATCCATAATCGATATGAGCTTTTCCTAAGCGTTCTTGCGCCTGAATTTTCCGATCAAGCTCTCCCTTTTATATTTTCGGATTCCGTCCACCCCCAGGGTCGGACATCCATCATTTTGGTGCCTTCATTGAGAGCTGAACTGTGAATCAGGTCAGATCCTCCCGTTTTCACCACATACAGTAGGTTATCATCCTTCTCGATGGCTGGAGCAAAAGGGGCGATGAGAACCAGACGTGCCGTGGCCGCCGCCTAGGCAGAACCGTCTGTTGAGGCTACTGCTTCCTCCAGTGCAAGGAGGGCTGCCAAGGGTAAGCAGGACGCTCAGGCATCTGCTGATCTGCGCAGTCAGATCCAACGAAATTCTCCAGACCTCCGCCACCAGATTTCACAAAATCGGGATGCAGCGGCAATACCGTCCGTCGAGGTGGTGCCACAATTCCAGAACCTTCTGATGGTGGATCCCTCTGGGGCGGTGGGCGCCCTCATCTCCGGGTTGCAGCAGGTACTCCCAACGTATCAATCCCAAGCAGCAACTCCTGTGGCTCCTGGACCCATCAGCCCCCCTTCACCGGCGAACTCCAGACCCCGATCTTTGAGGGTGTGTACCATTGACACTCCTTGGATTAAAGAGAGGCTGACTTAGATGGTTTATCTGTCTCCTCCTCGCCAGAGGGCCACGTTGGGGGTTAACTCCCCTCCAAAACGCCAGGATGCTTATGACGCGCCTGTAAAGGTTATGCCCCTAGCATAGCAGGCAGGACCTTCTCGTCCCGTAGCGACACAACGGATGGCGCCCCCACCACCACCCCCACAAAGGTACATGGCTAGATTCGCACCCGCGCGATGCGCGGGATATTAAAATGTAATAGCGATATGATTTTTTTTTTGTAAATATTACTTGGTCGTGTGAAATAAATGCAAATTGTCATAGACGTAACATGCATAATAAATTACTCCCTCCGTTCCCAAAAATACTTCTCACTTTCCTTTTTGGGCTGTTCCCAAAAATACTTCCCACTTTCCCATTTTGGACAATTTGTGTGGCTCACATTCATTTTACCTTTTTCTTACACAATCACAACCATATATTTCCACTTTATTCCACTTTCTTAATAAGCGTGCCAAGTCAAACCGGGAAGAATTTTTAGGAACGGAGGGAGTATGAGCAAATATCGGATAGTGATAACTCAGAGATAGGTAGTAACTTTGTTTTGGAATGAGTAAGAAAAACGAAATGTTATAAAAGAGCATGTCTCGGTATCTTCACCGCAGATCAATATCTGCAGTGCGATAACCTACACATTGCGAAAAATTTCCTTATGATTTGTTAAAATTATTAGTTAGTACGCAGATGAATGCCCGAAGAGCATAGATGTAATACATGAAAAAAGTAATTAATGAAACGATAGTTACGTCTCATGATTGGTACGAAGTATGTTTTGGAATAAAAAGGAATAAATAAATATAATAATAATGTTTCTAGAACATACACATTTTGAAACGCTTTCCTATAAACAAAATTGGCAGTATGCTCGATTTTTTCATCATCTCCATCTTAAATTTCATTGAAATAATGGCATGAATATTACTCGTGTAGTTTTAAAAGACAAAAATATGAGTGTTTTTTGTTTTCCCAAAAAATATGACCGACGTTCCAAAGCCCAAAGGTCACCCGTCTCTCGCGCGGATCTCACTTGCAATTCTCCTCAATTGGACTCAGCACTCATTGCCGCTGCAGAGTGCAGACCGCATCGCCACCGCGGACCACATCGCCACCGCCGACGTCATCGTCGCCCACCATAGTCGCGCCCTTTCCTCCGTCGTCCCCTTCCCCATCGATTTTCTTCTTCTCTCCTTCCTGTCCGGTGAGTGGGGAGGCGGATGGGAAGTGAATCAGCGTCATCGTCATCAGTGGAGGCTTGGTATCAAGTCGTTTAATACTAGATCGAGTTATTTGTCGCATGTATCGATGCAAGGTTTCCAGATTTGAATAGTGGCTGCGCGAAATTAGGGTTGACTGGGGGAGGGCGAGGCGGTTGAAAGGAAAATGTGGCAGGCGAACGGGCTGGGGTAGCGGGGGAGTGGTTGTGGTTTGGACAGTGATGACTGTTGAAATTCGTCGGTCGGAAATCAAGCCTGCTGGTGAGGGAGTTGCAGGGGAGGAGATGTGCAGTAGGGATGGTCGAAGATGGTGGAGGGGGTGGAGGCTGCTGTGAGGGGTGGGGTTACGAGTGGTGGAGAGGGTGAATAGGCCTAATCGGTGATGGTGCGAGAGTTGGTCGGGGGTTGGAGGCTGTTGTGAGGGGTATGGGCTACTGTGGGGTT